AAACAAACAAACAAAAAAAACTAAAACAAAAACAAACAAATGCAGTATTATGTATAGATAATGAACTCCTGCTTGAAAACCAATAGCATCTCCACATCCTGGAGTGTCACCATCACCCCCAGGTTGGGCTGGTGCTGATCATCTGCCCTGCAGTGCTGCTCAAATGGCACACCTCCTGGCATGGCCTGCCACCTCCCTGTGTCACCTCTACATGTCACCTCATCTCACCTCTGCAGTTCTGACCCCACACCTCCACCCCATGTCCCCCCATGTCCTCACATGTCCCTGTGTCCCCACACATCCCCTCATGTCTCAAGTCCCCCCACATCAATTCAGTCCATGCTGATGTCACCAGGGGATTGAGGATGGGGGCAGGGATGCCTGTGGGGTGCGTGGAGTCCTGGGACAGGTTGATGGCTGTGCACAGGGGGGTGATGGTGCCCTCGGCGCACGGCTGTGACAGGGGGGTGTGAGTCATTGCCCCCAACATGGGGCTTGTGCCCCACGCATGTGGGCAAGTTGTATGGGGAGTGCTTTCTGGAGATGATCTGTCTTTTCTCCAAATCTGCAGCGACTTCAGCAATCCCGCGTCATACCGCAGCAGAAATGGGGCACTGCCGTACGTCAGCGATCTCTGACTCAAGCACAGGGGCTGCACGAAGGACACACGCTGCAGCCTCCCTGTTTCTGTGGGTTTGGGATTGATGTTTGAGCCAAAAGGCCTCATGCTGCCATACAGACAGGTGCTGGGTTCACCCACTGAGGACGCCTGTATGGGAACTGCTGAGTCAAGGCCTGAACCTCTGATTAATCACCTGAGGTGAGCCTTGAGTCAGCCAGAGGAGCACAGGTGAAGGCAATTCACCTGTGCTACCGGAAGGGGTGGAGCCAGGCTCCACCCCTCCTGGACCTATTTAAGAGCTGGCTACCAGAGGGGAAGGATCTCTTCTGGAGATCCTCCTCTTTTGGTATCTTCTAGTGAGCTCAACCCAAGGGTAAGCTCTTCTATTATCTATTATATATTCTATTCTCTTTTGTGATCCTTGTTTGCTTTTGCCTTACTCTTTTGATTATGTTGCAATTATAACATCTTGGTCATACACTTGGCGAGCCAGGCAGGCTGAATATACTGAAATTAACATCATGTCTTTCCTGTGGAATTTCTATAAATGGGTCAAGGGGGAGAACAATACTCCTCTAGAGAAAATGATTCCAGGGCAGATCCCAGGATTTGAGGGATCGCCCTATTATGAGTTAGCTGCCATCGTTGAAAAATGGGGTCCCTTACGCGTTATGGGCAATCTCTCCCCATATCGCATGGCGGACTATTTTCAAGGACTTGGCAAGGATATCCTCATTACCAAAGAAAGACAATTAGCTGCCTCCGTGGTGGCATGGCCACTATTAACCGCTTTAAATCATGCGGACTTAAGAAATAATACTTTAGAAACTGAAAATCAGCTTTTGAAAGACCGCATTGAAAAGCTGGAGCACGAGCTTGGCGTTTTAACAGGGAAGAAGCCAATTCTACATCTTCCTGTAAGCCAAATTCGTAATATTTCAATAAATGATGAACAGGCTCCTGAATCAACAGACTTCGTTGATCAGGACAACAAGAAATCCAAATCAGACCTTGAATGTCCAATTCAAACTGATCCATTGGAAGTCCGTCCTGTTGTAACCCAAAAAACAAAAAAAGTACAGGACAGACTAGCAGGGGTGCCGCCTGATCAATGGCCCCCTGCCCAGACTCATTTACATGTTACAGCTCGGCCATACACGCCAACAGAATTAATGGACTTAGCACAACGATTTCGGCAGAAGCCTAGAGAAAGTGTGCCGGCTTGGTTATTGAGATTGTGGGATTCTGGGGCAGAAAGTGTCTTGGTGAATGGCCCAGAAATGGCTAAATTGGCCACCATGACCGTCCATCCTGCTCTCAGGCAGAGGTTATACGTAGGCAATCAATATCGTGATGAAAACCATTCCATACTAGAATGGTTAATGGCGGCCTGCCGTATGGTATGGCCGAATAAATCAGACATACCGTTACATACAGGTATGTGGTCCTCCATGGAGGACCTTCAAAACTATATCCGTGAACTGGGTGTAAGAGAGGCCATCTATGAAGATACATTTGATGACCCTGATATGGTTAAATTTTCAGCAGGGATGAGAGATTTAATTCTACAGCAAGCTCCCTCCCATCTGTACGGCACCCTAGTTTCCATATTAAATCCCCTTGTAGCATCAGAAGCCGTAGTCCAGCAGGCTGCCCAGTTAGTTGCCGATTTGGGAGAAACAGAACGCCTGCGGACTAGGCGCAATATTCGGTTTTTGGAGGAAGCAGAGGTCCTGCCGGTAAATAAAACCAGAATGCCGGCTACTCGAGCTCCTCCATCGGGACCCATAAGGGTATCCCGAAAACAAATGTTTAATGATTTAATTTGGGCTGGCGTCCAATTTGCTAAGATCGACCGCCAGCCCAACCACGTCCTTCTCCAGCTCTGGAGGCAACTAAAGGACAATCAAAAATTCCAGAGCTACCCTAAGAAATCAAGGGTAAGAGCTATAGAGAGGGTTCCAACAACAACATGGAACCTAGAAGATTTTATTATTCCAAACAGGAAAAAGAAGCCACCTCAAGTGTCTCGGGCCACAATGCCTGAGCCGTCAGAAGCAAAAGAACTGGCCCTAGCACAATTCATGCAGTGACAAGGGATGTTAGTCCCCGTAGGGCCTCCGGACAGGACCGGAGGCCCTATGTAGAATTAACTATTTATTGGTCCCGAAAAAATATTCAGAGAGTTATGGCGCTAGTAGATACTGGAGCAGAAACATCAATTATCTATGGACGTCCACTAATCATCACTTGTCTTGAACTGTACCAACATACGTCGCGATAAAATTGTATAAGCGTCGCGATATACCGGATCTCTGTATTAGGGAAAGCTTACCCTTTTGTTAACCTGATCATTGGTTCACGCCGTGAAGGGGTGGAGTGTATGGGAACTGCTGAGTCATGGCCTGAACCTCTGATTGATCACCTGATGTGAGCCTTGAGTCAGCCAGAGGAGCACAGGTGAAGGCAATTCACCTTTGCTGCCGGAAGGGGTGGAGCCTGGCTCCACCCCTCCTGGACCTATTTAAGAGCTGGCTACCAGAGGGGAAGGATCTCTTTTGGTATCTTCTGGTGAGCTCAACCCAAGGGTAAGCTCTTCTACTTATTCTCTTTTGTGATCCTTGTTTGCTTTTGCCTTACTCTTTTGATTATATTGCAATTATAACATCTTGGTCATACAACGCCAAATCCTGAAATAATGTCACAGCGGTCTTTAATTGCTGTGCGAGGAGATGATGTGCATTTCTCCCTGGGGAGCTGTAAGCTGACCCCACAGTGTGGCAGACAGCACCAAAAAGGGATGCCATCCTGTACTTTCCTACCCTAGTAACTCCTGGTTCTGCTGGTACACCTCTTGTACCTGGAGCTGGCTCTCCATCTGGCTGAGATGTCATCTTTAACACTTCAAAACAAGCCTAAGGAGAAAAGATTTTGGTGATGTGACATGAAAACAGACAGCACAAATATAGACCAGCATGACAGAAGATGTACACACTGGGTGTTGAATACCATTTGGAAACCAAACCCCAGGTGAGAAGTCTTGTTTTATTTGGTTCATTTTTGCTAATCTCCCGGAGGATCAGGAAGTCAGTAGATGTAAACTAGAGATGCATCACAGGGATATTCAGTCAAGGTGATGCAACACATATCTAATTATTTTTTCATAATTACAATGACTACTAGATATTAACATGATAGTGACTCTCTTCGTAGCTTAACATACGTTAACGCTAAATTTGAAACTGGCATACTAATAAATAGGGCTTCTGAAAGAGGCGTGTTCATAAAACCACGCTTTTGTCTACTTGTTTTTCATTGTAATATCAATATATTGAAACGTTTGCACAGGGTCAAGTAATTGTGAGGGGATAAAACAGCACATGAGGTTATAATTACTATGTTAGGTAAAGCAGAGCATTATCAGTCTTCATTGTTGTTTTCTTTTTCTTTCCTTCCAGTTACTTGACAGTCCAGGAAATTTTTCACAGCTGAGCCATTGTGTTTTCTTCAGAAGTTAGAAATAAGATTGGCAGATTCATGTCCGTATTCACCCACGCAGCAAAGTACTGGAAGAACTGCATTATTTCACCCCACTCTTCAGTGAGTTTCTATTATTTACCATGTAAGAACAACTTCTTTGTAATGCCTCCCTTGTAGAAAAGTGACGTGTTTATCTTCATTGCCAACCCTTGATTTCCAGTGCATGTTCAAAATAGTTGATGGGTGAAGGAATGCTGGCTGGTTTTATGCTAAGAAAAAAGCCTCCACAAGTTCACATTCAGTACAGTGAGTACACTTTTATTTTTGCTAGATGGTCTGCTGGTTTCTCCAGTATTCTTATGTAACACGAGGGAACATTTTGTTGTTTGAATTTCTATAACTGCCTATTTTCTGTGTTCAGAGGAGTCATCAATGACCTTGATGAGGGGATAATGGCCACCCTCAGCAAGTTTGCTGATGATACGAAGTTGGGAGGATTGGCTGACGTGCCTGAAGGCTGTGTTGCCATTCAGCAAGACCTGGATAGGCTGGAGAGCTGGGCAGAAAAAAACCGGATGAGGTTTAACAAAAGCAAGTGTAGAGTCTTGCATCTGGGGAGGAATAATTCCATGCACCAGTACAGGTTGGGGGATGACCTGCTGGAGGGGAGCTCTGCGGAAAGGGACCTGGGTGTCCTGGTGGACGACAGGTTGCCATGAGCCAGCAGTGTGCCCTTGTGGCCAAAAAGGCCAATGGCTTACTGGGGTGCATTAAAAAGAGCGTGTCCAGCAGGTCAAAGGAGGTGATCCTCCCCCTCTACTCTGCCCTGGTAAGACCTCATCTGGAGCACTGCGTCCAGTTCTGGGCTCCCCAGAAAAAAAAGACAAGGATCTCTTGGAAAGAGTCCAGCGGAGGGCCACAAAGATGGTGAAGGGCCTGGAGCATCTCTCCTATGAAGAAAGGCTGAGTGAACTGGGTCTGTTCAGCCTTGAGAAAAGAAGACTGAGAGGGGACCTGATCCAGGTCTATAAATATCTAAGGTGTGGGGGGCAGAGTGGCAGGCCAGACTGTTTTCAGTGGTGAGTGGAGACAGGACAAGGGGAAATGGCTGGAAACTGCAGCATAGGAAGTTCCGCACAAACATGCGCAAGAACTTCTTTACAGTGAGGGTGACGGAGCACTGGAACAGGCCGCCCAGGGAGGTGGTGGAGTCTCCTTCTCTGGAGATGTTCAAGACCTGCCTGGATGCCTACCTATGCGACCTGCTGTAGGGAGCCTGCTTTGGCAGGGGGGTTGGACTCAATGAGCTCTGGAGGTCCCTTCCAACCCCTACAATTCTGTGAATTCTGTGAGTAGATTCCCTTACATATGGGGTATTTTTAACTGGGTAATGTAACTCAGAGTAATAACACATAAAAACAATCTTCTGTGTTGGTTGTTTGAAAGAAAGCTGTTTATTCATTAGAAATGTTAGAAACATAATAATCCCATTTGGTAGGTAGTTTTCCATTAGACTGTGAAGTTCCGAGTAGAAAATAGCACTGAAGTTCAATTGCATGTTGTAAGCAAGTTTTAATGACATACACCTTTTTAAATATCCCTCAGTAATGCATGCTATTATTGTCCTCAGGACCACTGGATCACCTTGTCCTAATGGTTCAAAGCATGCGAAAAATCTTTATCTGGAAGAATATGACAACTGAGATTTTTTATTGGTACACGATAGCACAATAAATTCTGTCACCTGTAATTAACTTGATGCCATAGTTCACTGCTGCAATCTTAATGTAAAGATTGCTGGGGCAATGCTTTCAGGGCCGAAACTTCAGCCAGACTGTTGTGTGTGTGAAGGAAAGCACTGTAAATCTCTGAATTCTGTATGGATGGGGCCTTATAAATATTTCTATAATTAGTCAAAGCACAGTATTTTTTATTATTATTTTTTTTTTTCCTACAGGTTAAATACTGCTGATTAGCTGCTTACTTTTTAGAAAGTTCTCTGTCCTTAGTATTTACACGAGTCTTTTTCTGACCTGCTGTAAGCCCGTGAGTCCAAACCAGATAAGGAGTCTAATGTTAGAGCTGGAGATAGTGTAATACTGTTACTAGTTGATACTTGCTATTTCATTGCATTCTAGGATTATGTAATAAAGAAAAGAACTGCCTCATAGAAGAGAATGACTTATGAATTATAATACAGTAGTGATCTTGTTTTTGGTGTTATTATTGCATATGTATATCTGCCTTTGCATGGTTAGTTCTAGAAGATACTGTCTACAGGTATTGCTGACAATTTAAAAAAAAAAATTACAATTCTTATTTATTCTTGGAAATATATTTCTTTGCTTGCTATGAATCGGTTAATTCTGAGCCATTATATTGCTGTGCTAGTGCACTTTATTGAATGTATCAAAGTACATAAGACATATTGATATTGTAACAATTAGACACAGAAACAAAGACTGTCTAAAAAACAATTCCAAAGTTTTAGGAAGGAAGGATTATTATAGAATTCTGAGACTGCCTGATACAAGAAGAAAGTGGTTTAGGCAGATTCACATAATTTGACTTAACACACTCATTCTGTATAAAAGAATTTAATCTCAAAGACTGGCAAGCAGAATTTTTAACAGGAACACTACTATGCAAATCAAAGAGCAATTCTGTTATCATGCTATGTACTAACTGCCAGACACTTGTTTGCTTTACAAAATATGCATTAATTTATCAAATTACCCTGCAAAATAAACAAAACTGAAGAAAACCTATGCATTTAAAATGGTTAGGATTTGACAAAGAAAAAATATAAAATGTTCAAAAGTAGCGAATCCAATTTTTGTTTCTTCAGCAACAAGCTCATTTCAGGGAAAAGCTATTAGATACTGCTATGTAAAGAAAATGCAATTTATAATGTTTAGTGTTACAAATAAGAACTAATTTTGAAAAGCTAATTAGTGGATTTCATGATGGCATAACTACATGAGCGGATGAGGAAAATGCTTGATGTCATCTATCTTAATGTTAGTAGAGACTTGGACATAGTCCCCATTGTATCTTTCTTTTCAAATTCAAAATGTGTGGATTTGAAAGGTGGACTGATGAACAAAGTTTAGTCTAGTCATACCTTGAGAGTGGTGGTCATTGGCTCAATGACTGGCTAGAGAAAGTAACAAGTGGTGCTCCTCAGGGGTCAGTACTGGGACCAATGCTCTTTAATATCTTCAGCAGTGACATTGACAGTGGGATCAAGTACATTCTCATCAAGTATGTGGATGACAACAAGCTATGTGATAAGGTCGAGATGACTGAGGGATGGGATGCCACTCAGACTTAGACAGCCTTTGTCAGTGGGACAAGGAGAAGCTCATGAGGTTCAAAAAATCCAAGTGCAAGGTACTGCACATGGGTAATGGCAACCAACCCCTTGTATCAGTACAAGTTGAAAGATGTAAGGATGGAGAACAGCCCTGCCACAGTGGGCATAGGGATACTAGTCAATAGCAAGTGGACATGAACTAGCAGTGTGTACCCTCACAGCCCAGAAAGCCACTCCTGTGCTGGACTGCACCAAAAGAATGGTGGTCAGCAGGTCAAGGTAGATGATGCTGCCCCTCTGCTCTGCATTGGTGAGACCACATCTGGAGTACTCCATCCTGACGTGGAGTTCTCGAGTACAGGAGAGGCATGGATCTGTTAGAGCATGAGCAGAAATGGAATACCTCCCCTGTGAGGACAGGCTGAAAGAGCTGGGTCTGTTCAGCCTGGAAAAGAGAAGGCTCTGGGGAGATGTGATAGTAGCCTTTCAGTATCTAAAGGAGGGCTATAAGGAGAAGAGGACAGACTCTTCAGCAAGGTCTGTTGCATGTTGTCAGCAACTGCGAAACTGTGAGACCCCCCCGTGGGGTCTGATGTGTTAAGCTCCCTCCCTGCTCTAATGATTGATGTGTGATGTGCCCCCTTGGGGGCGTAGACGAAGTAATTGGGCTATATAAGGTAGTGTATACGGGTAATAAACGCCATTTGCTGCTCATCATATTGGTGTCGCCTCAGTAATTGGCCAAGCTGCGGTCTCCCGGGAAATTCGGTACGGGCGTGAAAAGCAACAAGTGGTGACCCCGATCGACGTGATTCCTGGGAGTGAGTCAGCTGCCTGCCGGAAGCAGGATCCCACTGCGGTAGCGGTAAATTCAAATCCGCGGAGTAGTGGTAACCCGGGGACGGGGAGGAGTGCGCATTACTCCTCGTCAGGCGGGAGGCTCGGGAAAAGGAGCCAAGATTCCCCTAGGACGCTAGGGGGGAAACGCCAGAAGAGGCCAGGTGCATGTTCGGCCGGAGGCGTTATGGAAGCCGTCATAAAGGTGATTTTCCATGCATGCAAAAATTATTGCGGGAAAAATGTTCCTTCTAAGAAGGAGATATCAGCGACACTTTTGTTGCTGGAGAAGGAGGGATTACTATCATCCCCTTCTGATTTATATGATCCTAATAATTGGGATTCGTTTACTGCTGCGCTCTCACAGAGGGCAATGTTTAATCAGAAAGCAGCAGAGATTAAGGTGTGGGGATTGATTTTAACAGCTCTTAAGAAAGCAAAAGAGGAGAAGATTGCAGGTGACCGTGCTAGGGAGCTGCTGGGGCTCGGGCCAGGGGGGGGTCTTGTCTCCCCTACAGATTCGCCAGAGGGCAAGATGGCGCTGACTCCTTCGGCCCCACCAGAAACAACGACCCTGGAGATAAAGAAGAACGAAGTGAAGCAGGAGCAATCATACCATAAAAGGGAGGACCCACCTCCGTACCTGGCTCGCAGCATATATCCTTTGCTTAAGCCCTGTAAAGATAACGGGGAAGGGGGGTCGGTGGAGGAAAGTGGTATAACTTCTAGTACAGTTGATAAGAGGGTCCTTGAGAAGGGAGAGATGTCTGGAGGGGCTGGGATACAACCTGTGGAATGCGACTGGGGGCGGGACTCACCTACTGCCCGATTCTGCCTGCTACGGTGGCCACCCCCCGAGGGGCGTGGATTGTCCCCGGCCTTGCTGTGGGGGGGGCGTTCCGACGGGGATGGCCCCGGGGTCCGCCCAGGAGGGGCGTGGTCCCATATCGACAGCTTCATGGGGCCTGCCTACGCTCACTGATTGGGCTCGAGTGAGGGAGGATATACAGGCCGCAGATCCAGCAGGTGTCGCTCTCACTCTGCCGGTGGTGATAAGACCAGAGGGTCCAGCTTGGGTTCCTCTGGAGTCCAAAGCGGTTACTCGTCTTTCGGAATTAGTTAAGAGCAAAGGCCTGCGTTCCCCTGTTACTATGGCAGCAGTGGAAGCTCTTATGGCTTCTAGTCTTTTGCCATATGATGCGGTGAACCTTATGCATGTTATTCTTGAGCCCGTACAATACACCCTGTGGAATGATGAATGGAATAGACTACTTCAAGCTGTGGTGGCTGCTGCCAACCGGGACCCCCACCATCCAGCCAATGGCCAGCGCAGAGGCGAGAGAACTAATCTTGCACGTCTTCAGGGCCTGGCAGATGGAATGGTGGGATCCCCGGAGGGCCATGCTCAGACCAGGAGAGCTGGCAGCTGTTACAACGGCAGCCCTCCAAGCCCTGCGAGAAGTGGCTAAGGTTGCGGAACCTGTGCATCCGTGGGCAGACATAAAGCAGAGCCACTCTGAGTCATTTTCTGATTTTGCGAATCGCCTAATTCGCGCAGTGGAGGGATCTGATCTCCCAAGGGAGGTCCAATCCGCAGTCATAATAGAATGTCTTAAACAGAAATCGTTGCCAGACATCCAGCAAATCATCAGAGCAGCACCGGGTAACCTAACTACCCCAGGGGAGCTTATTAAATATGTGTTAGATCATCAGAAAGTCGCACCATTAACTAATGTGTCAACTATTAAACCAGATTGTGCATTATTTTTAGGCATGTCATATGCCGGATGGTCGGCATGGCTTCATCGACAGGCACTTGATACATTTAGAAGAGCAAAAAGAGATGTTTCTGGTATTCTGGGAACAGGTTTAGGAGTCTTAAACAGTATAGACACTGAAATACTCATGAGTAAATTGAATGCCATTACAAGTAATATACATGAATTGCAACATCCTCTACAGTCGTCCCTATTAGGTTTAGGAACAAGCCAATGGCTTTTATCAGATGTGTTACCGCAATGGGAAAAGATAAATAGGAAAGATCATCTGTTGATTATGGATGCGCTTTCAGCAGTCCAAGGTAATACTTCTTTAGCCCTCAGTTGCATTCAGGCCCAGATGTGGATGCAGTTTATAGCAGCGACAATCGTGAGAGAAGGTGAGGATGGCACTATACCCACTGAAATTAGAAAAGTAATTTGGGACAATGCAAATAGGTTTGAAAGAAAATTTCAATCACGGTGGCATTTAGTTAACTTCACTTATGATCCTGTCACCAATTATGCCGTGGCTTTTGTTTTGATGATAAGTAATGCTTCAGTATACACGATATATCCAATCGTAGCCCTAGGATTAAATCATGGTGAGACTACTCTGTATCCAATTGAACATCGGATATGGGCTCTTCAAAAGAATAAGAAATGGCAAACTGTGGACGTTAGTTCATGTGCCATGCGAGAACAACAAGGATTTATTTGTGAAAGTAATACATTTGAGACTCAAGATATCTGTTTTGACACTGAACAAAATATCTGCCACTTTGAGGTCCAGCCTGGTAGGATGTTTGAATCAATGCTTGTATATATTGGAAAAGGATGTGCTTGCATCAGAACTCATTGCGACTCCATACAAATAGGGGATATGATTGTTGATACTGCCAATCACTCAAATCTTTGTGTTTGCAATTTTATCAATATTTTAGGATGTGATTTTAACTATACAGTTCCTGTTACTTCATATCAGCTTTTGCAGTTCAATTACACTCTGATCAAAGATTTGCGTCCAGCGCTGATTGGGATGAATCTCGCTTTGGTAAAGGAGCTTCTACAACATGATGATCTACATCGACTATTAGAACGTATCAAAGACAACGGACAAAAGACCTTGATTACTGTTCATCATGACGTGAAAAAGATACATCGCGTCTTGGAAAGAGTAATGAAAGCTGGAGAACATCACTGGTGGGAGGTTCTTTTCGGTTGGTCTCCCACAGCTACGGGAATATTTAACTCTGTACTACATCCGGTAGTTGTTATATTAGGTCTGATAGTATTATGCTTGGTTCTTATATTATATATAAAGACATGGCGCTTGCTAAAGCAAGTGTCCCAGCTTGATTTAGCATTAAATAGGGATACACTGCATCATTTTTTGTAAGACTTATTTTAAGGCTGATAGACGGTTATAACGTTAAGGTAGAACTTATATAAGATATTAAGATTTTAGGATTGTTAAGATAATAGGTTGTCATTAAGTTATAAGGTTATAAGGTTATAAGTATATAAGTTATAAAGTTATAAGTATATAGGTTGTCATTAAGTTATAAGGTTATAAGTATATAAGGTTATAAGTTATAAGGTTATATAGGGTTATAAGTTATATAGTGTTATATAAGTTATAGGGTTATAAGGATAGGATATTTTGCGAATCGGGTTGTAACGGGGCAAGGCTTAACCGAGAGGACAATGGCATGTATAGGCGCAATGCGGGGATTTCGGGGTGTACGCGGTTAGGGTCCTCTCGAGTTGTAGTATGCTTTCTTGAGCATGGAGAGGGGGAGATGTTGTCAGCAACTGCGAAACTGCGAGACCTCCCCGTGGGGTCTGATGTGTTAAGCTCCCTCCCTGCTCTAATGATTGATGTGTGATGTGCCCCCTTGGGGGCGTAGACGAAGTAATTAGGCTATATAAGGTAGTGTATACGGGTAATAAACGCCATTTGCTGCTCATCATATTGGTGTCGCCTCAGTAATTGGCCAAGCTGCGGTCTCCCGGGAAATTCGGTACGGGCGTGAAAAGCAACAGTTGCGATAGGACAAATGTAAATGGTTTTAAAATATAAAAGGATAAATTCACATTAGATACAAAGAAGTTTTTTTTTACTATGAAGGTGGTGAGGCACTGAAAGAAATCACCCAGAGAGGTGGTGGATGGATCCCCTGTCCTTGGAGACATTCAAGATCAGGCTGGCCCAGGCTCTGAGCA